TTGCTTTCGTCCATTTGTTGCCTCAAGACTGCTGTCGAGGCATTTGTAAGGCCATGTGCTACTTGGGACGTTCCTCCTAAGAGTTGGGTCCTATTTCTGTTCGCCATACCTACTCCAGAACCTTGGAGTGGCGAAGAGGCACTCACTAAAGGGTCTGAAAAGGTGGACGCAACGTTCGTCAGGCTAGCCAATTCAGAAGTTGGCATGCCATAGAGTGGTTCTCGATTTTGACCGCCTGTCATAAATCCTGGGGGAACATAAGGCCTTGTTCCTGGATTTCCCCTTGGTGGGGGAGTTCCTAAAGGCACTCTGGGGCCAGCGAACGGAGGTAATGGCCCCGTTGTTGTGACCGTTACTGCTGGTGTTGAACCAGCGGTAATCGCTTCACTTACGGTTGGGATAACCGTTGTTCCCACATTCGTTTGTGGGATTTCGTTATTGTTTGGCGGATTCGCCATCGCTTCTCTTCTTCTGGCAGTATTGGTATTGTTAGTGTATATTCTACCACTTCTCAATAACATGCAATACTTCTCAAAAAAGATGATATTCTGTGTAAAAATGTTAAACTTCAAAATCAACACAAGGTCCCACCGGGTGTGCCAATTTGTTTACCGTGGGAATTGGTAAACAACCGCTGATCTTCCAAAAGGTTACTTATTTGGTGACTCGCAGGATCGATCAGATTGATCCTAAGACATGGTTGATTTTGGGGTTTTGACTAAGTTTGATAATGATTAAATGACAAGAAAATAAAGAAGCTTTATGTAAATTGCATGAGGAAGAAAACTTGATAGAGTAAAGAAAGGCTTGAAATGAAAGGCTTCGACTGGAAAAGTAAAGGAGAAGACAGTAAAGTTCTGGAAAATAAATGACTTTGATTAATTAAAGTGGTGTTTCACACATACATTCTCAACAATTCTTTCTCTCACGCTGGGTACTCGAATCTATATGAGTAACTTGTATATAATTGTGAACACACGCGAAAAACTGCGTGAACTACTAATATTTATACTAAACACATCCCAAGTAACCGTCGGGCAGTTACGCTGCTTCGAGATGACTCCACTTGGCACGTTCACAGCGTTCGACGCTCCAGATTTTGGCACGTTGCACTTGGTAACCGCTGGGAACCGTTTTCCCTCCAAACGTTTGAATCTCAAACCGTTCCACTCTGAGCAATCGAACGCCTTCGTCGAGAAGCACCTTCGACGTCGAAGGCAACAAGATTCCTACTTAGAAGAAATTCTCTAAGTACATTGCCATCTTCTGACGAGCATTTCGACAGAACCAGCTGGTCGAAACCATCCTTCAGCTTTAATGACTTATATTAATAAAAACAAGGGTGTCGAATTCAGGAGCCAACACATACTCAAATAGGCAGATGAATTTCTCATACAAGTATCAAACCTTACACAATCTGATATAATTTAACCAACACATCTCGCGATAGTAGATGATCCATGATATTTCGATAAATTTTGTAATATGATGTCCCTTTATCGAAATAAAGATGTTACCACATGGACCAATCTCCACGTACTTTTGGTTGTATTCCTCTCCACTCATACATGAAAATAGTGATAGATTCATGTTTGCGTCAACATATATTATTCAATAAACAACATTAAATAAACTATTTTTAACAAATACTTAAATGATTACATGAATATGTTATTTGAAGTAGTGTCATATATCATGTTAGATGCTTAGTCCTAAACTTAATCTTAACTATCATTCAAATATCTATACAAATAATTCAATGCAACATGTTCTCAGGTGTAGTCATCGACCATATATAAATATCTAAAATACTACAAATATACTAAGTGGGTGTAGGTGACACTCTTGTCTATTAAAATGGTGAAGTCCACAAAAAATAGGATATTCTTCCTTATGGTCCATTGTATGTGCATGTGTTTGACTACCTTGCCTTCCTCGTCAACGAAACTCACAATTAACATGTGTCTCTCAAACTCCTGTTTGAGGTAATTGAATTATGCATGGCCCACATTGATCTTTTCAGCTTCTTTAAGGATGTTAGTCGGGTCTTATACGAGCATATCAACAACCATGCCCACTACTTTGACTTTGGTAACATTTGCATGGTAAAGGAAACGTCCATGAATATTGAGATTTCGAAGATAGGACATGTCGTCAAGTGTTAGTGTCATCTCCCCAACTAGAAGGTGGAAGATGTTGATTTACTCGTGTCACCTCTCTGAAAAGGCTTTCATCATACTATTATTGTTGAACATGTGACTCCACACACAATGAGAGAATGAATTGTGAAGATTTGAAAAATGTTGGTTTAAAACAACATTATTTGGAAAATCAGAGTCTGAAAATATTTTGTAAAACAAACAAGTAAATATACATCAGAATAAAAAGATAGATGGAAAACCAACAGAAAGAAAATAAAGTAAAGAGATAAGATATATATATATATATATATATATATATATATATATATATATATATATATATATATATATATATATATATATATATATATATATATATATATATATATATATATATATATATATATATATATATATATATATATATATATATATATATATATATATATATATATATATATAGAGAGAGAGAGAGAGAGAGAGAGAGAGAGTAGAGATTTATACAGACTCATCCTAAATTGATCTAGTTTTGCCCTCAAGAATTATTCCTGAGAGTATCCACTAATCTTGAGAGATTTTAGAAGGATGTGCCCGTGAATCTTCTTATACAAGGAAATGAAGTTTAAAGGCTAACTTTCAACCATAAAATGAGCAGAGTTTAGAGTGGCTATCTGCAAAACTAAATAGAGATTTTTCACAGGCTGATCTTGAACCAAGATGAAATTTTACACCGACTATTCTCCGAACCGAGATGGAGTTTTATGTAGGCTATCCTCCAAACCGAATTGAGATTTTACTCTTCATCGCATTTACACTCAGAAGCTTTTAAGTCTTGACATCATTATCTTTGAATTTAGCATCACACAAAAAATTGAATATTCTTAATGAAGTTTGAGATATATTCAAGTTGATTACCATCATTAGAGAATTGAGAAAATAAACCATTGACAAACCTTGAAACGAAAGTCTTCACTGGAATGTCGTTTGACCACAATATTGACTACAAAGAGATGGCCTGATCTTCAAAGAATATCTTGATTCAAAAGAATAATTTAATAAAACATCTTGAAAATCTTTGACTGTTTAAGCTATCTTCAACAAATAAAAACTTCACTAGATATCGTTTGATGTCATGTGTTGTCATAATCAAAATTCAACAACCAGTTAGTTGACTATAACTTTGCTATAAAAAACTCCACCATCTTAGATCACCTTGAAAATACCAACAAACACATAAATTCACAATTATCTATTATGTTAAAGCTTGTAATGGAAATGTTAACTAGTTAAATGTGTCGAAAGGAATTAGTGAACCATTCCTCATCTAGAGTTTGTAAAGTGTAATCTTTGTGTTGTTATTTATGCATTTCATCGACTCATCATGAAATTGAAAAGAAAAAAATGAAGCAATATAAAACAAAATTGGAAAATAAATTGTACAATACATATCATACATCTCCTTTCTAGTTATCTCTGGCCACATGTTATCTCCATAAAAATACAATACAAGCGTGTCAAAAAAGCCTCTAGATACACCTTAGCTTCCTACACCTTAGACTTTAAGGCTAAGGTTGTGGCTCAATTAGTCCAACTATATCCTCGTATCTTACATTAACGCTCTTGCCTAAAAGAGGCAGCAGCTTAGTTTATGTCATACATAACACAATATCCTTATTTCTAATATACTTACTATTCTTAATCATTCAGCATTTTATCTCATACAACATGGGCGCTTGAATTCTTATCACTGTTTAATCTCCTCTATTTCAATATATTCGATGATTTATATTCATTTTATTTCTCTGTCATTTTGTATTACATATCCAAAATGATTGAACCGCGTGTCTTGTGAAAGAAACCACACTTTCATGCATAGCTAACTGTCATCAATTGGTTTTGACTTAACTGAAAATTTTAGGAAAATCAATATATTTTCTTTAAACCGCGTATGATCTTATCTAACGCTTAATTAATAATATTGACAGCGTGAATGCAACAAAATTCCAACAGCAGAGAATTCCATTTCGTTATATGAGATGAATCATAAGTAACTAGATCAACCATTGTCGAAACTTGGAACATGCATATTTTTAACATTCAATACAAGGTAGAAAATAATATACAATGATGAATTAATAATATACAAAAGTCCTCAGATACATCTTACTTCCTGAAAGTAAGACAATAAATAGTCATACGGATATAGTAATACAAAGCCAGATCCTCGAGACAAGTAGGTCCAACATAGCATCAAACAAGGGAACTTTTCCCATCTAGGAAGTTGCTTCGCATCCAGAAAGAAATAGTTTGCGTGTTGGCTGGACGTGCACTTCTGAACAAAAAATACTATTTTTCATGTCTGCAAATACTAGGGATTTTAGAAATGTAGAGTGTGGAGAAAGTTGTTTTCATCAAACAATTTGCACTCTTTTGGACCAAAAGTATGATGAAAATAAATCCTATTTCCCTGTGGAATTGAGTTACAGAAGAGCAACAGAATCCCGTTCGAAATTGGGCGGATTCAAATTCTAATTGCGGCCTATAAAGAATGACTCAATGAACTAATGCAAAATAGGCTCTATGGTTTGTACGACATAATCACAACCCAGCTGAAGAAGACTCAATGAACTAATAGCAAAATAGGCTCTATGATTTATACGACATAATCACAACCCAGCTGAAGAAAGACTCAATGAACTAATAGCGAAATAGGCTCTATGATTTATAGGACATAATCACAACCCAGCTGAAGAAAGGCTCAATGAACTAATAGCGAAATAGGCTCTATGATTTATAGGACATAATCACAACCCAGCTGAAGAAAGGCTCAATGAACTAATAGCAAAATAGGCGACAAAATCACAACCCAGCTGAAACCAAACCATGCAACGTGACAATCCCAATCACAATATTGTCATCATCTATCACAGGCAAAAATTGGACTGGTGATGGAGGGGCTTCCATCTTCTTCATGGCATCCACTGCCATAGCATCTGGACCAATAGTTCTCGGATTCCTGAAATGCCATGGTCAAAGGTTTAACATCAATATATTATTACATCCATATGTTTGTATCCGTAGAGCTGGCATGGAGCAAGCATCACATACACAAATGATTTATTTGACCAAAATTGAGTTTCATTTGAAGTGATTTATATTGTAAATTTGATGTATTGTAAATCAATGATTCAAGTTTGATGTATTGTAAATCAATGATTCAATTTTATCTAAAACCAAGAAAACACTTGTCTTCATATTTAAATCATGTTTTTAATCAGTTTAGTCAATCACATATCACAAAATATTGATTTGTTTAAACTTCCCTATGCTATAGAGCATGAATTAACAGTACTCTGTACTAAACAGCAGATTGCAGAACAACAGCGTGTTGTTCAAATTCTTCTGTGCTATAACAGCGCTAAAGCCACTGTAAGAGAACAAAAGTTTTAGAATAGGAAAAATTTATTATAAAACATGTCCTCAAACAAAACACGATTTAACATAAATTCCTACTGACTTCCTATGTTAGAGGGTGCAGAAACTATCAGAGAAGTTTTTATAAGTGAAATGCTTTTGCAGATCTATGCTGTTACCTGTTGCACATTTTCCCTACAGTGAGTTTGAAAATGCCTTCTCCGCTAGCTTTGAGGGTACGACGCAGATCACCATCAGTAAATGTCCCAATCAGACGGCGATCATCATCAATAACAAGAAGGCATCCACATCCTTTACTCGTAAGCTCCACAAGCTGATCCATAATCAAATCTGATTCCCTGCATATCGGAAGCTCCTCATCTTTCTTCATCACATCTCTTACCTGCACACAAACACAATCACAAACAATTACATTTCATTCACAAAATGTCTTCACTGAAAACCTAATTGATCCAATTAATTCACCAATAGTAAAAGTACCAAATCAAAATTCATAACAACAATTTCAGAGATCTTTTACAACATTGGGATTCCAATCTGTATAGCACCAACACCTCTAAAAAAAAAAGTTGACTATGACACAACACTTGTAATTACATTTAATTTTTTTAAAAATTATTCCTGACATCGATTTGTCAGGGAGGTGTCCGTGCTTCATAGATCGCGATTATTTCCTTCAAAACCTAATTCATTTCATTAATTCCTGATAAAAGAGCTTCTAAATCGCGATCCAGAACAACAAAATTTGAGATCTACGATAACAATCGCAATTCAGCAGGAAATGCAGATTATATTATTTCAAGTTGTTCATAAAACAGAAAAGTCACACAAAAAGCGAAATGCAGACCTTAAAGATGAGGCTCTTGCCGATTTTCCCGGCGGGATGATTAGCAGCATACTCATCCTTAGTAAGATTCCGTGCAGCCATGAGCGCAATCGCCACCGTATCACCAAAAACCATCTGAATCGCCGTAGAAGTAACCGGCGCAAGGTTAAACGGACAAAGCTCTCTCTCCAACGGCAAATGCACAGTCATATCACACACCGCGGAAAGCGCGTTCCCTTCAACAGACGTCACAGCGATAATACGCACACCTTTCGCTCTAGCGCAAGGGACAAGGCGAATAAGCTCCTCGGTGGCACCAGATTTGCTAAGCAGAACGAGCACATCGCGATCGGTGAGGATTCCGATGTCGCCGTGCAGAGCATCGACGGGGGAGAGAAAGGAAGATCGGATGCCGAGGGAGACGAGTGTTTGAGAGATTTTGTGCGCGACGAAGCCGGATTTGCCGACGCCGGTGAAGAAGACGGTGCCGGAGGTGTTGAGGAGAGTGCGTGTGAAGGCTAGGGTTTGGGAATGGTCGATGCGGTCGAAGAAGAAGTTCAGGTGGTTTTGCTGAGATTTGAAGAGATCGGTGAGGGTAGTTTCGTCAATTAGGGTTTGTTTCAGAGGGTAACCGTTTGGAAATGCTGGTAGAGAACCCATTAGAAAAGAAGATATTGCTATGTGTTTTGATTGGTGAATATATAGTTGTATTTTGCATTAATGGCGAAGATGGAAGATTTTCTGTCATGTTAATTTAGGCGGTAAGGAAGGAACATGGTGTCGGTGGTGCTGTTAAAATTAAGATACTTCTTCATGTTGAAGAAAATGTTAGAAATGATGTGAAATATCTAAGCCGTTGAAAGTTTTGGAAGTTGAAAATAGGGAGAAAAGTGGATTAAGGGTTGAGATTTGCTAGTTGAAAACATGTAAAAGAAAATAAGAAGAAAAATGGAGGATTCATTATTATATTGACAATTGACATGTAAAATTGATATGCGTAAACATCGGAAAGAGGTAAAACAAAATTAATATAAAATTTAATATTATTAGATATTTTTAAATATTCTTAATTTGTGTAGATTACATAGTAGCAATCCTTTTAATTACAATTTTGTTTGAGTATTTAAAGTTTTATAGAATCCTTTTTCATAGCATCTAGTCTATATGTTTGGTAATATTTAAAAAAATTAATTGTCGGACATTATTAATATAAAATATTTTATATGATCACTACTTCACAATTATTTATAAGTGAAATTTTAAATATGATTAAAATAAATATCAATCACAAATAAAAAAATAACAATTGACGGGTGTAAAATATTTTTACATTATTAATCCATATTAATTAAATTATAATTAAAAATTGCAATTTATAAGAGCATGTTCTTTATATTTTGATTTTTACACATCTCTGAAAGAGAATGATATTTTAACCACCATGTTTGCGATTGAGAAATTTAAGGAGATCATCTTTCTATGCAGGCAGACAAATGTCTTTGTCTAGATGATTTCAATTCAGGTTTTTATCAATATTTTTGGGAGACTTGTGATCTTGATATTTTTAGTGCATGTTTTTATTGGTTGGAATCTGGAATTTTTCCAACAAATCTCAATATGACTAACACTGGTTTAATTTCAAAAGGTGGAGTTCAGCATTCCATGAAGGACTATAGATTGATTACACTTTGTAATGTGTTATACGAAATGATAGCTAAAGTTCTTGCTAATCAACTTTAAAAAGTCCTGGATAATTGCATTTTTGAAAATCAATCAACTTTTATTTTAGGTAGATCTATTCTTGACAATGTTATGGCAGCTATTGAAGTGGTTCATCATATGAAGTCTAAAGCGAGAGGTAAAGTTGGCAGGTGGCTCTTAAACTTGATATTAGTAAAGTTAATTAACCGCGATTAGTTAAGGGTTGCCCTTATATTAGATTTTAGTCGGAAATGGATATGGTGGATTATGTTTATGTGGAAACTATCGATTATTTTGTGATTGTGAATGATTTTATGGTAGGCCATATTATTTTGGGACGTGGTTTAAGGCAACGTGACCCCTTATCTCTGTATCTTTTTATTATGTGTTTGAAAGGTCTCTCGGCACTCATTAATCAAGTTGGAGCCAGAGGGATATACATGGCATCAAAATTTGTAAGAATGCTCCAATCATATCTCATCTTTTATTTGTTGATGATTGTTTCCTTTTCTTTAGAGCTGGTGCGAATGAAGAAAATTTGCTGAAAAATATTCTTTCCACTTATGAGGAAGCCTCAAAATAAGTCATTAAGCTTTAAAACTTAAAAATATGTTGTAGCAGGAATGTCTTTAGTGATGTTAAGGGCGAGGTTGCTAATTCTAGGGGTTCAACAAGTTTTGGGAACATGGAAGTATCTCGGTCTACCGTCCATGATTCGAAGAATTAGAAAAGTCACTTTCCACTTTATTAAACAAAGAGTATGGAAGAAGATAAACTCTTGGAGTAGTAATTGTCTTTCTCAGGCTGGAATGGAGACTCTTATTAAATATATTCTTCAATCGATTCCTTCTTATGTTATGAGTATTTTCTTGCTGCCATAGTCTTTAAGTGATGAAATTGAGAAAATGTTAAACTCCTTTTGGTGGGGGTGTAACAGGGTTCGTGCTAAGACTATCCATTGGCTATCTTGAGACCATTTGTTTATGCATAAGAATAATGGAGGTATGGGTTTCAAAAATTTAAGCACCTTTAACTATGATATGATGGGTAAACAAGCTTGGAAGTTTATGACAAGTCCAAGTATTTGATCTCACATTTATTCGAAGCTAAATATTTTCATATATGTGATTTTTACAAGTCAACTATTGGATATAACCCCAGTTATAGGTGGAAAAACATTTGGAGTTTTAAGTTTTTTGTGCGGGAAGGTTATAAGTTGAGTATTGAATCAGGAGAGTCTATTGTGTGAGGAGGTTATAGGTGGAGTATTGAAAATAATAAAAGTATTATTGTTCTGGTTCGAACCCATGTAATATAACTTTTCCCTCGATTTTTAAATCACAGAGGTGTTATGTGGCAACTTTTCATGAAGCCCTTCGTTACCTTGCTTCTTTAGCCGAGGTTAAATGCATTTCACGTCAGAGGTGACATTTGTCTTTTGTAGTAGGTACAATTGGTTGTATGATAATTCTTTGTTAGCAAATCATCGACCAACTAATCTAGAAAATCTGAAGCTTTCAGATATAATGGATACTAATGGAAACTGTGGAATTATAATTTGATTCACACTCTGGTTGAAGAAGTAGTAGAGAAAAAAGTTCTTAAAACTCCCTTATTTGAAGTTGTTCAGGTTGACAAAAAATATGGAAGTTTGAAAAGAATTGGTTGTGAAATAATTTAATAAGTGCCTAAGTATTTTACGTAAATTTGGAACTTATCAAAGTGCCTTTATATGATTATTTAAAAAATCCTTCTTGCTAGATTGAAGAATGATATTGGTAAGTTGATAGTAACAAGCCAATCTACTTTTGTATGAAACACATAAACGCTCGATGAAGTGTTAGTCATAGATGAATTAGGGGATTTAGCAAAGAGGCAAAATAAAAAATGTATGATGCTAAAGGTAGACTTTAAAAAAGTATATGATTGTTTGAGCTCGAACTATCTTCGTTATGTTATAAGAATAATGGGCTTTGCTCTAGATGGTTGAAGTGGATGGAAGTGTGCGTCTTCACAAGTAGCATGTATGTTCTTGTTAATGGTAGTCCAACATCGGATTTTCATGCAAGGTGAGGTCAATGTCAGGGGGATCCTATTTATCCATTACTATTCCTATTAGCAACAGAAGGCTTGGAGGGTATAGTTTGCAATGAAATCTAAATGGGAGAGTTCAGAGTCTTCAAAGTTATTGAGGATATCAAGTTAGAAATCCTATAATTTCTAATGATACTATTATTGTGAGTGAGGGATCTTGGAAACATTTATGGTGCATTAAAGCAATATTATGTGGTTTTGAATTGGTTTTAAGACTGCGTGTGAATTTATATAAAAACACAACTACAAATAATACATTTTATGACAACGATTTCACCCCACCTAACAAAATATTGAGGTATAATTCCTCGATACGTCATGTTTTTTTTCTTTCTAAAAATTACCATTTATTATGTCGTTGTAGTAGATAATCGGTGGGTAAACTAATTCATGGTACATGCTTTGAATCTCATAAAATACAATTTATATTTTTATTTTATTAAAAGTGACATCTTCCTTCATATTTTATTTTTACTCCAAAAATAAGTCTTCGTTATGTTTTCCAACTAACGTGAAATAGTTTGCTCTTATATATAACTTAACTTGTAGCTTTCAGTTTCACTTGCCTAAAACAACACACACAAGACCCTAACAAAGAGCCCTAAATAATGAGAGCCCTAAACAAATATTATCCTCCAAATCATAAAAAGCAGGGAAATATGAAGATGATATGTGTTTAGGGATCTCATTCGATCCTTTCCAAAATGAAAGATCAAAATCATTTATTTCACTTATTCTTCACATATTTGGCACGCCAATCATCACTATTTATGTTACATTGATTTTTTTGTTATTGTCGTTGTTGTTATTGTTGTTGTTGAGACTCTAAACCTTAGAAGTTTAATCTAGTTATTGTTGTTTAAACTGAGATTGAATATTATATGTTGTTTTTTTTATAGATAAGTATGTTATAGGTTTATTGTTGATGTTGATGTAGTTTTGTTGAGTGATTTTTTTATAGTTGTTGTTGTTGTTTTTTAGATTGAGATTGAATGTTAGTGTTGTTGTTGTTATTTATTGTTGTTTTTGAGTTGTTGCTGTTGTTATTATTGTTGTTGTTGTTTAGTTGTCATACTTAGCAAAGTTTTGAAAAGCTATATATTATGACTTAATTATTGTTATTGAGTTTGATATTAAGGTTAAGATATTTTTTTTGGGTTCTTTGTGCAACTCTCATCTTGTTTCATCGAACATGTCAAAAGGACATTAGAGTGACACAAAATACAGTTGAGTTTATTACATTTAATGCCGATTGTTTGTTTCACTAACCACTCTTTGAACATATAACCTATTAAATTAATTTTGATAATAATAATATGAAAATTTATGTTGTATTTGAAAAGAATCTTATACTAATCAATGTTTTTCGAGCAATTTGTAACTCATCATTCATCTCACGTTCTTTAATGGTTAAAATCTCTCAAAATGCTTCTAGTTTTTGTTCAATATTCTTCTATAGTTGTTAATTTTACAAAGCATAAATTTTATGCTTTAAATTTTCAAATTTGATACCATTATGTTTCCCATGCATACCTATTGGCACAAATCCAAGAAGAGGAGCAACATGGAACTCGATCATAGTGAAGCTTTAAGGTAGACTATCAGCTTGGAAAGGAACACACTTGTCAATTAGGAGAAGAGGTGTGATGTAGAACTCTGATTTAAGTAGTATACCAATATATTACTTTTCATTCTACAAAGTCCAAAATAAAGCCATTTAAGAGATAATAAAAAAAACAACATGCATTTCTATGGGGAGGAGGTGAAGAGAGGAAGAAAATTAACTAGGCAGGTTAGACCTAAGTATGTAAGTCAAAGAAATAAGGAGGACTTGAAGTCAAACACACTAAGTTATTTAACATAGC